ATAATCCCTGATTCATTAATTGAAGTAAAAAATGGACTTTGCAAAATCCCTAATCCGACTCCAAATATATGCATTAATTTCCACCAAAGAGCTAAAGTCATCCCACAGGACCAATTTGAATTGTTAGACCCCTCTTTCGATTCTGTACCAAAACTCAATGTCGAAAAATCTCTGAGACTAGATCATTTGACTCCTCTCGAAAAAACAAAAATTATTCCCCTCTGTCACGAATTCAAGGATATTATGTACCATGAAAACTGTGATTTATCCTTCACAAGTCAGACAAAACATTTCATCAGAACAACTGATGACAGGCCCGTATATGTAAAGTCCTTTAGACACCCTCCTAGCATGAATTTGGAAATTCAATCCCAAATACAAAAGCTACTAGATAACAAAATTATTCGACCCTCTATTTCACCTTATTCTGCACCCGTCTGGATCGTTCCTAAAAAGATCGACGCCTCTGGAAAACGTAAATTCAGAATGGTAATTGACTATCGACGACTTAATGACGTCACAGTAGAAGAAAAATATCCCCTACCAAGAATCGAAGAAATTTTAGACAATCTCGGGAAATGCACGTACTTCACTACCCTTGATCTTGCCCAAGGATTTCACCAGATCGAAATGGACCAAAATTCCATCGAGAAGACTGCCTTCACAGTAAACAATGGTCACTTCGAGTACCTGCGCATGCCCTTTGGGCTTAAAAACGCCCCCGCCACATTCCAAAGAATGATGGACGAAATTCTGCGTGACTATTTATATAAATTTTGCTTCGTTTACATGGATGACGTTGTCATCTTCTCGAAATCCCTTTCAGAGCATATAGATCACATTCGGCAGATCTTCAAAAAACTTGAAGAGGTTAATCTTAAGATTCAGTCCGATAAGTCAGAATTTCTGTGTAAAGAAGTCGCCTTTCTTGGACACGTAATAACTCCCGAAGGTATAAAGCCAAACCCTTCAAAAATCGAAGCTATTCAACGGTACCCAATTCCTAAAAATCAAAAAGAAATAAAAGCCTTTTTAGGTTTAGTGGGATACTACCGGAGATTCATACAAAACTTTTCAAAAATCACTTTTCCTATAACAAAATGTCTCAGAAAAGGTAGTGAAAATAATATCGGAAACCATGAGTTTAAAACCGCATTTTTAAAATGCAAAGAACTTATCAGTAATTCTCCTGTCCTTCAATATCCCGATTTCGCAAAACCTTTCAAACTGACCACAGACGCCTCAAATATTGCCATAGGCAGCGTCTTATCCCAAAATGATCACCCAATTGCTTTCTATTCCCGCACCCTCAATTCCGCAGAAAGAAATTATTCCACTATAGAAAGGGAACTTCTTTCTATAGTCGACTCGACAAAACATTTTCGCTGCTACCTTTATGGTGTCAAGTTTGTCATAGAAACTGACCACAATCCTCTTGTGTGGCTTGCCAAAGTCAAAGAACCCAATTCTCGCCTAATTCGCTGGAAGTTGAAGTTGGAGGAATTTAACTTCGAAATTAAGTATAAAAAGGGCAAAGAAAACGTCGTTGCCGACCCTCTTTCACGCATAGAGATCAACGTCAACCAAACCAATGACATTAACGATATGCAATCTAATGCCCCCAATGTCGATGACACGGTCGCCAATCTTACTGACTTCGACCTTGCCGATTTTGTTTTGAACGAACGATACAATGACGTTACTAACAACGAGAAACTACAACTTCAAATTTCCCAAGAAGAAGTGCCACCTTCAATAAATCCCGACGAGAACGATAATAACTCTGACGTCACTGTCCACTCCAATAATGATACACAAGGCAAACGGTTGCCGATATCAGAATTGCCCCTAAATCATGCCACAAATCGTCTTGTTATTGATTATGGCGAGGAATTCAAGCACACCCTTTCCAAGCCTTTTCACAAAAATCACCATTTCATTCGAATCTCAAAAGAAAATAGACAAGAGCACATACTAAAAATACTAAAGGAAATTATAAGACCAGATCACTCCTTTAATATTTATATCCCAAATCCGGAATTAAAAATCGAATTTGAAAGAATAGTCTTTGCAAATCTAAACACTTCTGCGAGACTTGTTTTTTCTAATATTTATTTAATGGACGTAACAAATATTGAACAACAAAAGGAGATAATAACAAACTATCATCAAAATAACCATAATGGCATTACAGAAACGTATAATAACATCAAACAAAAATACTACTGGCCAAAATTGAGAGATTCCATAACATACCTTATAAACAATTGTGAGATTTGCTTACAAAACAAGTACGAAAGACATCCTTACAAAATCGCTTACGAAGGCCCTTTACTTTCCGAAAAACCTTTTAAAACTATACACTTGGATCTTTTTCAATTCTCAAATTGCCAGTTCTTAACAATAATTGATTCATTTTCAAAATATGCTCCAGCCTATTTTGTTCCTGATAAGAATGCCATTACCATTCTAAGTAAATTAAGGCATTACTTTTCCCACCACAACACTCCCCAAAAACTTGTGTCTGATCAAGGAAAAGAGTTTCAGAATAACCTTTTCAAAGAATTTTGTCAACTGTTTGGCATTGAAGTTCATTATACAACTCCCGGCAACTCTTCGTCAAATAGTCCGATAGAAAGATTACATTCAACCTTGCTTGAAAAATTAAGGATTCTTAAGATGCAAAATCCTGACGAAACGCCCCAAAATCTTATGATTTCCGCCATTCTAATTTATAATCAGAGCATACATTCAACAACTGGACACTCTCCATTTTCTGTATTATACGGCCCCTATCTCAATGAGCCCAACCTAAACAACGACTTGACTATCTTTGAGCAATATAACGAAAAACGAAAAAAGGAATTGTTACCTTTTTACGAACATGTTTATAAAACAGCCTACCAAAAACAGTCCGAAAGAACACAAAAACAAAATAAAAACACCGAAGACCCTCCTATTTTAAGAACAGATCAAATTGTCTATAAGAAAAATCCTCTGAGTAGAAATAAAATAAATCCCCAGTATATACCAACAAGGGTTACGACAACAAATAAAAATAAAGTGGTAAGCATTTCTAAGAAAAAACCAACTACTACTCATATCAGGAAAATTAAGAGACTAAGAAAGAATCTTGTTCCTTTTCAGCCTCCCGATCCTGATCCTGACCCTGCAAGCTCAAGTGAACCCTTGCCAGGCCCTTCAGGTTTATAATCTTCCCAATAATATCTACTATATTGAGGAAGTATCACCCTCCTTAATTATCGATCATTTCCATACAACATATATACCTTTTAATATTTCTAACATTAAGTATACTTTATCCAACTTATTTAGCAATATTGTTATTTTAGGCTCTATGGTGAACAGGCAAAATAATAATTTCACAAAAAAACAATTTTTCCATGTATCTAAAGCATTGAATAACACTTACGATACATACTCAAAATTGAATGTTTATGAAATCAACAATAATCGTAAAAAACGCGGGTTATTGAACTTCCTTGGCAGCGGCATCAAATTCGTCACAGGAAACTTAGACAATGATGACTTAGACACTATTACACAGAATTTAGAAATACTTCAGCACAATCAAATAAACTCAATGCATAAGATCAATGACCTTAGTTCATTTGCTGGTAATATTATGAATAAATTTGAGGAAAACATAAAAATAATAAATAAAAACTCTCAGGCAATTCGCTCTGAATTTTACAAACTTAGTAACGAAGTAAATCTAATTTTATCACTACAAGATTTATACATACAAATTACCAACCTAAATCAATTTTTAGAAAAACTCTTACGAATTTTTTCTTTTGCACATCTGCAGACTTTAGATCTAGAAATTCTGAGCCTGAACGAAATAAACGAAATTTGGCAATACTTGAATATTCATTATCCTAAAAACGCCCTATGGTCTATAAAACATGTTTCAGAATTAACTTTAATTTGCAAAACTGGTCTCTTGATCTTAGATGAAATGGCAATTCTTGCAATAAGGATACCAATTTTTGAGAAAAAATTATGTAACTTAAATATTGTATACCCTATACCGAATAACGAATCCAAAATATTGATTAGTCCTAGTAAATTCTATTGCAACGACCTATGGTATAAAAACTGTGAAGAAATCAACTCCAGATGGATATGCTCCAACCCACTTGTCAGCGGCTGCTCATTGCCCAAAAATTGTCAATATGCGACCGTACAAAATAATTATCAAGTCCACACCCTTACTCACAAAAAATCTCTACTGTTCTGTACAAAAACATCAGAAACAGTTTTCGAAGACTGCTTCCAGTTCCAAAAAGCAAATCTTCAGGATTGTTCCATCATTCAAAGTCAGTGTGATGTCATAATCAGCCAACAAAAGTACTCATTGGCCATCAACAACATTTCCATTGATTATCCAACAGTGACAGATCTCCAGTCAAGTAATTTTTCCATCAACTTACAAATCAGACACTTGGAGGATCCAACCAAAATTCAAGAAGACCTTCTGGAGCCAATTGACTTTGAAAACATTGCCCCAAAACAAAGTCACTACTTCATTTTAACGACAATCTGTATCCTGCTTGTATGCGGTTTAAGCATCCTAATATATCAGTGGAGAAAACACCAATATTTGAAAACCATCCCTATAAAAACTCTGGAGAAGATAATCAACGAGGACGTTGAAAATTCTAAGGGTGGAGAAGAAATATCCGTGAACTAGGCTATATTTAATGTTATTATTAATAATGCTGAATGTACATTTTGTTTTCATAAAAAGAATTGATTGTGTTTAATATGTAACATTGATTTCGTGTCAAAGCTCGCTGCTGTTCGTAATTGATTGTTCACCTTAGTTAAGAAACGTATTGTAAACTAGTTAAGGCCTTTATTTCGAAAAATAAAACTTTTTTTAAAAGTCACTCCGTTGGTCGTGGAACTTAATTAGGTGTTACCCTCGGGGTTACCAATGGTTCGTCCTCGGGTTCGTCAACAGTTTGATCAACCCTTGGATTGGACACAATCACATCCACTTCAACTGGAACAAATGAGGATGAAGTGCTAGGCTTAACTTCCTTCTTTGGTGGCATTGTAAAAACTGTCATCGATTCAGCTACTTCAGGCATACCCTCTATAACTACTGGGGATATTAGGTTTAGAATCTTCTGATCCTCATTGGTTATTTCCTCATTTATAGGAGGGCCACCACCAGTTTGATCCAAGTGTCTCCTTATAGTTGCAGATTTGGTTTTCACTGCGTTTTTTATATCATGCCATGTCTAAAAAATATAGTGGTGTAGTTGTGATATGAACAGAGAGCAAGTAATTATTTTTATACTAACCTTACGCCATTTTATCCATCCCTTGTTTGCGCCCGGCATGGCATTTAAAATTGAGGAAATTTCCTCCCACAAGGCTTGTCCCTTTTTAAAGGTAAAATCTTTTGAAAACTTTGATGTTTTAAGTTCAGGATGGTCTTCTATAAATTGTATCAGAACTTTTTTTTGTTCACGAGTTAAACTTCCACCCTTTTTCTCTTCCATATTCGAGACTTTTTAGAAGTACAAAAGTGCCGCTGCCAACAAAAATGAAACCAAAAATCACCATGTAAAAGTAAAAATATTCTGCTCGAAAACTCTATGTCGAAAACCATAAACCAAAACAAAAAAATTATTCAAATAAAAACAAAAACAAGCAAGAAATTTTAAGGTTAGGTTAGAACAATACTTCTTTTTTTTAATTTTTGATCGAAAATTATTGGCGCAAGCTACCGTTGGCTGTTGATGTGCTTCTTATACGAGTTAAATTTTCGCATACGAAATATTTTCCGAAGAGTGTTCAAGAATACCATTTACTATTCGTATTCGAAAAGGTCATTCGAGAAATTATCGTATACGGACATTATTCGAACGACTTCCAGAATAGATCCCCAGTTGCCGAGCAACAGCGGCACGTTACACAGCAAAAAAATGTTTTGGTTAAGAAGCGACGCGTAGCCGATAAATCAGTTTAAGCAGAATAGTTTTTCTTCATTTAAAAAGTGTACATAAAGGCAAATTCCCAACATGGTCCTTCGTGCAGGATAGCAAAATCAGTGCATTTATCGCGTCGCTAATAAACACACAGTAAAAACATTCATGTTTTCGTGAATAATTAGTCCAGAAGTGCAGCCGAATCAAGTGAAATTAAGCATTTAAAGACATTTCATTCGTGATCGGTGTTGTGCAAATACATTTCCAAAATTTTAAAAAGTGTAACCGATTGAAATTAAGCATAAAAAACATTTCATTGGGGCATTTTTAATTATAAAGCAAAATTACAGTCCGGCGCCACGCGCCATCTCATTCGCTCTCGGTAGTATACCTGCGTCGGTCGCAGTCGCGCGTACGCAAGGATAAACATTCCAAGTCATCAGCTGATTTACAGTCGGCCAGATCAACACAGCGGACCAGTACAGTACGAGTAAGTCTGTTCCATTTTTTATCCTTTCATTTAGGAGGGAAGCATTTTCTCTATTTGTATTTATTTCATATTTTATTTGATTGCATGACATTGTTGAATACATAATTTGTTTCTTTTACCCTTATCACAATGCCTAAAGACCAAGCTAAAGACGCTAAAGATGCATTAAAATCACTAATCGTAAAGCGAGGTGTAGTTAGACGCCGTTTAACGCTATTTTCAAAATTTTTGGATAAGTTCACAACCAGTTTAGAAAATGATCAGGATGATGATAAAATTGGTAAGCGAATAGCTGAATTACAATCACGCTTATCCAATGCTGAGTTGTTGTCGCAGGAGTTTGAAAGTGTGCAATTAGAAATCGAACTACTGTGTGCGGAACCCGATCACGAAACAGAGGAACGCGAGCAGTTTGAGGATGAATTTTATGATCTTGTTTCAGATGCAAAGGAAATTCTTGCAAAGCTTTCCTTATCGGTTGCCGGACCCAGTGGTGTCACACAGACAGCCTCAAGTTGTGGCTAGTAATAAAGCAAACATCAAGTTACCCACAATTCAGCTGCCTGCCTTCAATGGTGAATACGATAAATGGTTAGAATATCATGACACTTTCGATTCTCTAATCCATAAAAATTCTAATATTAACGATATGGAAAAATTTCATTATTTAAAAGCATCTATAGGTGGTGAAGCTGCAAAAGTTATACATTCGCTGGAAATGTCAGCAACTAATTACGCAATAGCATGGCAGTTGTTGTGCGAAAGATTTGCAAATAATAAATTATTAGTTTACAATCACACAAAAAGTCTTTTCAACTTACAGCCTATCATTAAAGAATCGTCACAACAATTGCGCCATTTGGTTGATAATATTTCCAGTAATTTGAGGGCTTTGCAATCTCTTAATCAGCCTACTAACCCCCAGACGGCACCCGATATTGCTGGTATATGCCTACAATCTGCCCATTTTCCCAGGTATATTGCAATATTCCAGGATTATTCCCAGCATATTCGCAATATTCTGTATCAATTAAGCATATTCCAGACATGTATTTATAGGATATGCTATGAATATCATATTTTGCATATTCCTTGAATATGCGAAAGAAAGATTTTTATATAATTCTATAAAATTAAAGCAATTTATTATTTTCAGAGTTTATGCTTATGTGCATCCATCGACAAGCGTTTTTAAATGACCTGATGGTCCTGCCTGATGGAACTATATTTTCCATTCATAACGTCATTATAGGTACTTTAAAGCGCATAAATCAATTATGGAAAATGGTTGAATTTAAAAACTTGCCCTAATTCCTCTGTCTGTCTGTAGGTCTGTTCTCACAGCAATCACAAACCAGTCAGCGCGAATTTCATTGGCTGAAAACAGTCAGAAAACTAGTTTCAACCAATGAAATTCGCTCTGATTGGTTCGTGATTGCTATGAGAACAGACCCTTGTATCGCGACCCTGTACTGTACCACGCCGACGCTCGCTCCCGCTTGTCATGTCATGTTTGTGTCGCAGACTCGCAGTGGGCGCCATTTTCACGGTCGTGCTCGCGTCTACGTCGTTCGTTTTTGTGTTTGGATTTTTCGATTTTGGTTTCGGGAGTGAATAAATAAAGGTAGGTAACTGGTTTATTGTCTTTAAATTAAAACTTTATTTGCAGTTTATCTAATTTATACCCACATTTCTCAAAACTCAAAACTGCTTTATTATTTACTTATAGGTACCTACATAACCTAAAAAATAGAAAAAATGAAAAAAAGCTTCTTTAGAAGAGTAAATAAATCAAGTCAAGAATCGTTTTTGATAGCGATAGACAATGAGGCCATTGCAGCGAACACTGAAAGTAGTCTTAGGGCTTTTAATGAACCTCCTAGCAGTCACAGTAGACAATCCCAAGCAGGGCAGTCCCACAATAACTCTTCCTTGAGTCCCTCAAGTAGTGAATCTGATGAACAACTTGAACTTGATGATAAATGTCTTGAGACTCATAATGGGCAAGTTTCATCACAAAATGATCACTCTGTCAACCAAACTTTGCATGATACAGATATTACTTTCGAAAGTGAACCAGTAAGCAATGAAATGCTTTCGGTCTCCATGCCAAACTTTCCATCTAGTGAAATTTCAACTATAAGCCAAAACAAGTCAGTCGATTTTGCAAGTCAGATAAAATTATGGGCCATAAAAAATCAAATATCTCAGAAAACTATTAATGAGTTGCTAATTATATTTAGAAATCACCCCAATGGAGATTTTGGAGGGCATATATTTCCAAAAAGTGCTAGAGCTTTTTTAGGTACTATGCGTAATGTTCACACTAAAGCTATTTTTCCAGGGGAATATTGTCATTTAGGTGTTGAGCGTGTGTTAGATTTTTTTTTTATTTTACATGAACTTCCAGTACCTGACAAAGTAGAAATAGCCGTCAATATTGACGGTCTTCCTCTCAGCAAAAGTTCAGGGAGCCAGGTATATCCAATTTTGGGGTTGATTTTGGGGCTTAAAAAAAATATTATGAATGTGGTGCTATTAGGGATTTATCATGGATACCAGAAGCCGAGTGATCCAAATCTTTTTTTAGAAGACTTTGTCAATGAGTGTGTTAAATTATCCAATGATGGCATTAAAATTAGAGGTACAGTGGTAAGCTTTCAGGTTAAATTTTTGCTTTTTGATGCTCCAGCCAAGTCATTTTTACTTGGCATTAAAGGGCACAGTGGTTATTCATCATGCACCAAGTGCACCCAAGAAGGCTCATATATTAAAGATAGAGTATGTTTTCCAAGTACCAACTTTACAAAAAGAACTAATGAAACTTTCCGAAATCATCTTGATGAGAATCACAATATCAGACATACAATTTTACAGAATATTGAGTACCTTGACATGGTAAACGACATACCATTAGATTACATGCACTTGGTTTTATTAGGTGTTATGAAAAAGCTAGTAGTCACTACATGGATTTTTGGTAAGCCTCCACACAGGTTGCCTGGTAGATCTATTACCAGCATGGATTTATTGATAAAAAAAATCTCCATATATATTCCTTCTGATTTTCCTCGAAAACCTAGAACTGTATTAGAATCTAAACGGTGGAAGGCAAATGAGTTCAGACTATTTCTCTTATACACAGGCATTATTATTATGAAACCATTTTTACCAGATGAGAAGTATACTCATTTTTTATCACTTTTTGTGAGCATGACAATACTTGTTTCACCTTCTTTATGTGGCTTGTATGATTATGCTGAAAAACTTCTCATATATTTTGTTAAAGAAACTAAACGTATTTATGGGCCCCATTTTATGTCACACAATTTCCATAATCTTTTACATATTGTAGACTGCGCAAATCGTTTTGGACCACTGGATAGTTTTAGCAATTTTTCTAGTGAAAATTTTTTACAAATTTTAAAACGACTGGTAAGAAAGGGCGAAAAACCGCTGGAGCAAATTGTGAAAAGAATATCTGAAGGATTTTTTACTTCTAATTTAGGCCCTAAAAATACTGAGACTAATATTGTACTAAAATGTGAAAAATATGTTTCTCCCCAATTAAGTTCCCCACAGTTTTTAAAATTAATTTCTGGTAATATGTTATTGAATGCAGCACATAAGAGGGATAATTGTTGTAAACTGAAAAATGGTGACATTTCATTAGTTCTCGGTTTTTCTGCTGGTCTAAATAAGGAATCTATATGTGCACTAGTTAGAAAATTTGAAATAGTTCAAGACTTTTTTGACCGTCCTTGTAAATCCTCTTTGGTGGACACATATTTTGTTCAAAAACTTAGTAACGCATGTCAGGTAATTAATACTACCGATATCACATATAAATGTGTTCGTATTCCTTGGAAAACTGGTTTTGTTGTTATGCCTTTGTTACATACTACTGTGTCAAATTGAGGGGGGTGGTAATGTCAATGACCTTCAAATCTGTCAATAACTTATGTACTCTGCTTCTGATTTGATGATTTTTCAAATTGGTCTGCATTGAGGAAAAAAAAAACCACGTAATCGGCTCAAATTTGGCATAAACATTCTTTAATCGATTAGGTTTCTATTCAGACAAATTTTGCAAAAATCAACCATCAAGAGGCAGAGCACAGAACTGACAGATTTCAAGGTCATTGACATTAAAAACTATTTTTTCTGTGACGGAAAAAAAATCACTTTTTTCACATGAGAAAAAATGTGTATTTTTTACCCTTGTCAACAGGTACCTACAAAAAGTCAATTTTTTTTCCTGCAAGGGAAAAAAGTAACAGGTACCAGTCAAATTTTTCTGTCAAAGGGAAAAAACTAACAGGTAAAATCACAGAAAAAATTAGTGAATAGATGAGAAATAAGTGAGATTTTCAGTACCCAGAAAAAAAAAGTTGACTTTTTGTACCTGTTGACAGGGAAAAAAAAATTACTTTTTTTCCCATGGGAAAAAAGTGATTTTTTTGTTGTATAATACTGAAGTTAAAACTTTTATTTTATGTGTTTGTTGAGTGAACGTTATCATATTATAAATGCATACATTTCACTGTTAGGTACATTATTTTATATTAGGAATATCTAAATAGGGACTTTGCTCTTTCCTCCATTGGCATGTGGATAACTCGGTGGATGGTGGATAACTAGTATTATTTGTAGCCATTTTTATTTAATTTTTCTTTAGTAGGTCTTAGAAAAATGTAGAAACAGATATTTTGCTCAACATATTGTGCTATCAATGTTACCATTCAATTATGCAAAACCGTTTATCAGAAAGGGAAATTGTTGTCCATTTAACATTGGTCAGTTTGCTTGCATTACCTAATGTTTGAATTAGAATTCCTGCATACACATTAATATTTAATTCAAAGTTTGTATTAAATTTAATTGGTCTTTATTTTCTTTAGAAGTTAAATATTAGAACCTAAATAAGCCCCGATTAAAATGGGAGGCTGGCAGATAGTTAAATTTCCAGAAGATGATAATAAAGTTGAGGCTGTACCGTCATCCTGGATTTCAAAAGAGCAAGGAAAAATCATGTGTTTTTGGCCAAACACTATTTCCAGCAGCAAAGTATTAAATTACATAAAAAGTCAAGCACAACCGCAAGGTGACTGGAAAAGCTATCCTGTTGTCATTTTAACCCAGTATCCTGAAGAAAGCTACTCATTTGCTTGCCAGAAAGCAAAACGAGCACAGTATACAAGTGCGGTTGATACGGGTGAAGAATCAGAAGAGGATCGAATATCCAAGAGAAAACGCAAAAAGAATCATAAATATTTAAGTAGTGAATCAGAAGATTCACCGTTAAAAACGGCACGCAAGACGTCCAGACAGTTGAATAAAATGCCAACACCTCCAGACCAAACAAAAGGTAAACAAAAACAAATGTGTGTTAAATATTTAAAGTTGTTCTTAACAAAAAATGCAGCTTCTCCCTTGTTCTTTTGTAAAACACTGAAAGTAATATTTTGGGTTTTTCTTAAATTTTACAATAATGCGAAATAAAAATATTATTTTTATTTATTCGAATAGAGTTCAACCTTTAATTTTTTATTTAGTAGCAAGCAGCAGTTCTCAAATTGCCCTAAATAATGTCAGCAAAAATTTGGGAAATGTCCTTGAGAGTGTAGCTGAAAATACTGATAGTGGTCAGAATAAAGACGTTAGAACCACCAGTTCTCGCAACCAGAATTTGACTAAGACATCCTGTGAAAGATGTAAAGGTATGTATGCAATAAGAAAAAGGCATCTATATTAATTACATTCCATTCTCATGTTATTACCACAATTACCACCCTGTCGAGATTCTAGGGTACTGTGAGAGATGAAAGTTTGGTTAAATAGGGGAATCTCCGAAATTTGGAGGTTCCCAGTACCTATTCAAAAGTTTAGAAAATTTTGAATTTTCTACAATTATGTAGATAAGTGATTTTCTCTTCAAGCGTATGGTGGGAAATTTCGCTACGCGTTATCATCGATCTGGTCAAAAAATGTGTATCCCTATTCCTAGATTTATCCTTTCGCCTGTGATGTGATGGTAATAAGCAATTTAAAAATTGTTTTTTTACAGATTTAAAAGAAGTTTTAAGACTATTAAATCTGATAAATGCAAGAGTTTCCAATAATTTGGAAGAAATCAAAGCGCTCCAATCGGGAACTTCATCTAACAGCAATGCAAAAGTAGTTCAACCTGAAGCTAATATTGACATAGGCACTCTTCCTGCAACAAATGAACATGAATTTAGAGAACTTAGTAACAAAATGAATGATAAGAGCATCAGAGAATATATGGTAAATAAATACCTAATTATATTTTTTGGGCGAAACATACTCGGTAGATCATTGTTCTTTATTTTATTTTTCATTTTAGGTTAACAAACTTGTCCACATTGGGGGAACCACAATAAAAGAAATTGTGAAAAGATGTATGTCAAGCATTGTGGATGATAAAGTCCTTATCTCTTACAGTTGGATTGGAGGAAAGGGCAAATTAAAATTTTCTCACCTCAACATAGCAGACCTATTAGTTGGTATGTATATATCAGATTTCTAATTTGACTAAACATGGTAAATTTCAAATGTGAGACTTTTTTTCTCGTTCTTATTTTTTTTGAACGATGCAACTATAAGACGTTTGCTTGGTTAAGTTTTCTTTTTATACTTATTCAAAAATATTATTTCTTCTGTTTTAGATGTCTGTAAGCTAAATCCATTAACCAAAACAGAGACGGCCAAAAATGTGGAGCAGGCAATTGCGCTGTATCTAACAAAGGCAAAAGAAAGAACGACTAGACAAGAGTAATTAATCATTACTGAAATATTTAAAAATATATAGATTTTTGTTTATTTTAGGGCCAAAAAGAACAAAGAACCGGAAGCTGAGGCACCCTAGGCACAACTTTCGGTTTTCTTTTAAATTATACAAACTTATGCAGAATTATTTTTTAATTTTTTTTAGAGTTCCTATTTTATTTGGTTATTTTTTCGTTTGATGGTAGTAGAAAGTTCCTTCAGTTTTTTTTAGAGTTCCTATTTATTTTATTGTTTTTTATATTTTATTTTTATTATATATAATAGTGTTTATTATATCTATTATTAATAAGTTGAATAAATTGTTTATTCAAAGATTAATTGGCTCCTACTTTTGAGTTTAATTTAATCTGAATCTACTTTTATGTTCATTTCAACCTGAAAATTTTAACATCTTTGTAAAATTTTTGATATTGTACAAGATAATGCCATGGGCAAGTTTTTAAATTCAACCCTTTTCCATAATAATTGATTTATGCGCTTCATGTATAATAACGTTGTTGAATAGAAAATCGTTCCATCAGGTCATTCAAGAACGCTTGTCGATAGATGCGCATAAGCAATTGATGAATTTAAAAACTCGCGCTTTCAAAAACTGAGAAATTTCAATTTTGGGAAACATTCCGAAATCAGTGTGTTTAAAAGATACCTACCACTCGACCTATAAATTTAAATGGATTGAACACACATATTTTTTGCATGATTTTGCTTGGCAGAGTACCGTGTGTACAATAACTTTTAAATAAAAAAAGGCATTGTGCATTATCAACTATTTCCAAGCAAAATCATCCTTAAAAAAATTATGTTAGATAGTTTAATTCGATTTAATTTGGAGATCGAGTGGTATCTTTTAAACAAACATATTTCAGAATGTTTCCCAAAATCAAAATTTCTCAGTTTTCGAAAGGAATATATGAATATCTTATGCATATGCATGAGATATTCATCAAATATTCTTTAAGGATATTGCATATTCAGTGAATATTCCAATATCCAATTGTCATATATGTGGCATATTGCAGGGATATGTTTCATGGTGACTTAAGCATATGCCTGGAATATTCCTGTCATATGAAAAGATCTGCGTGGCATATTCCTGGAATATCTCTATATTCCCATGAAATATGCCACGAATATTCCTGCAATATGTTTGTGCCGTCTGGGCCAGTGGGATACTTTGTTAATATTTTTGGTCAGCAGCAAGCTCGATGCAGTTACAGAGCGGGAGTGGGAACAAGTCAAATGCATAGGCGATTTACCAACATTTCAGGAGCTCATTGATTTTCTTAAAAACAGGGCGGATCTTTTAGAAAAAATTGAAACCAGACAATCAGCCCCAACAAACAAAGCTCCAACAAACTCAAATTACCGTGCGAACTACCGTACAAATAAATCATTTTTTGTTTCCAACTCTTTTGTATGCGTTTATTGCAAAAAGTCTCACAGAATTTATACTTGTTCAGAGTTTTTGAACCTTTCTGTTAATTCGCGCATTGAATTAGCAAAAAAGCTCCAACTGTGTTCGAATTGTCTGAACGCAGGGCATAAGTCGAATGATTGTCGATTTGGGAATTGCAAAAAGTGTAATTTTAAACATCACAGTTTGTTGCATCTAGAAAGACAAAATAATAATAAGTCGCATAATAATCAAAACCAAAATCATGCCGATAATGCAATAGCCGGCAGTTCACAAGATGGTTCCAATAACTTGGTTCTGGCAAGTTACAACCAGGCATCAAGTCAAACTCTTTTATCTACAGTAGTTGTGCAAATAAAAAGTACCAAAAATGGGTCAATTCAAAATTGCAGGGGTATTTTAGATAGCGGATCACAAAGTAATTATATCACATCCGAGCTATGTGAATCATTATGCCTTGCCAAAGAAAAGGTTGATATTTCAATCCAGGGGATAGGTAACATAACTTCAAAAATAAAATACAGGTGTACTACACAAATTCAGTCATGTTACAATGCATTTTCTGTACCAATCTCCTGCTTAGTCCTTCCAAGTATTTGTCCACTACTACCAGAATCTAATATTGACTTCAGTTCCTTGAATATCCCAAGTAATATTAAATTGGCAGACACCGAGTTCTTCAGGCCTTCAAAGGTGGATTTAATTATTGGCGCAGAACCTTTTTGGCGACTGTTATGTGTTGGCCAAATATCTCTGGGAGCTGGTGAGCCCATTCTGCACAAAACAAAATTCGGATGGATAGTGTCCGGTCCAATAAACAGCAGGTTTAACTCGCAGTTGCAGTTCTACAATCGTTCGATTTGCAGTTTTTCAACCAATTTACAAAATGAAGACCAGGACGGTCTTTCCAAGTTTTGGCTTATCGAGGAATGTCCTACCGATAAACCGGTTTATTCAAAAGAAGAGCAAGCTTGTGAATCACATTTTCTTTCAACAACAGAACGGGCTGCTGACGGACATTTCATTGTATCAATCCCTTTGAAGCGTTCCATTTCGGACTTGGGTGACTCCAGAGGCCATGCCATTAAACAATTTTACAGTTTGGAGCGTAGGCTCAAAAATAACCCAATTCTTTCAGTACGATACACTGAATTTCTACAGGAGTATTTTCTACCCCACCATGGCGTCTTGAAGGAAGACAGTCTTACTACAAAGCTGCGGGTTGTTTTTAATGCGTCTGCGCGCAGCACTTCAGGGATTTCCTTCAATGACTGCCAGATGGTGGGTCCTACCATTCAAAGCGAGCTTTTTGAAATTCTTATTCGCTTTAGACAATATGCAAATGTAGCCTCTGCGGATATCGCCAAAATGTACCGCATGGTGTGGGTTAAGCCCGAGCAGAGGTCTCTGCAGCAAATTATTTGGCGTGAAACCCCTTCAGAGCCCCTATCCATTTTTCAGCTGAATACAGTAACTAACGGCACTGCTTCAGCATCTTTTTTGGCCATCCGATCCCTTACTCAGCTGTCCATAGAAAATAGTCAGAAATTTCCAGAGGCATCACGCATTATCGCAACCGATTTCTATGTTGACGACTTGTTGACAAGTAATGATGACGTCACTCAATTGTCAATCCACTGTCGACAAATCTCTGATATTTTGCTCCAAGGTGGGTTCGAGTTAAGGAAATGGATATCGAATAATCCTAAGCTTTTAGAAACATTTGATAACCAAGATAATCCTATTCATGTTTTACAATTGGGATCCCACGAAAATGCAAAAACCTTGGGTGTTTCTTGGTCATCTCATTCTGACTCTTTGATAATCAATATTTCATCTCAAGCTCATTCCAAGCATAGCACCAAAAGAATGATTTTAGCAGGAATAGCCCAGATATACGACCCATTGGGGCTTCTGAGCGCATGCATCGTGAAAGCTAAAATTCTCCTTCAGAGACTTTGGTTGGAAAAACTCAACTGGGATGAGGCCGTTTCAATGGAAATTCACACGACTTGGGTAAAATTCAAAGAAGAACTTCTTGAGCTTAATAACTTTCAGATACCTCGTCATGTTCGTTCAACGAATCCCTGTCACGTTGAATTGCATTCATTTTCCGATTCTTCCGAAAGCGCGTATGGCTCATGCCTATATGTCAGAAGCATTGGCAGCAATGGAGTCATTTCCGTGCATCTGCTATGTGGCAAATCAAAGGTAGCTCCCCTAAAATCCGTCAGCCTTCCTAGGTTGGAATTGTGCGGGGCGCTTATTGCAGCACGACTTGTACATAAAATTACGCAATGTGTTCATTACAAATTTGATCGGTTATTTCATTGGTGCGACTCCACGATAGTGTTGGGATGGGTAAACACTCAGCCTAATTTACTAAAAACGTTCGTCGCAAATAGAATTGCAGAAATCCAAACAAAAACAAATTCAATTGACTGGCATCATGTCAGATCCAAAGATAATGCAGCAGATTTGTTATCACGAGGAATCAGTCCTTCGGACGTAAAAACCTCGGATTTATGGTGGCATGGCCCATCCTGGCTTTCTGAACCACAAGAAAAATGGCCGCAACCCACTGCAAATTCTTTCACGGAACTTCCAGAACTTAAATCCAACAAAGTGACTCTTTTTACAAAACCAGTAACTACAATAACATTTGAACGATTTTCAAACCTAAATCGACTCATTCGAGCATACGCATATTGTTTTCGATTCTTGAATAATTGTAAAAAACAAAAATCTGAACATTTTGTTGGAGTTTTGGGTGTAGCTGAGCTTCAAAATGCATTAACTTTTATATTGAAGCAAGTTCAAGCCGAGTGTTTTCTTGCAGAGCTAGAAAAATTAAAAACTCAAAATCCTATATCTCCTAAAAGCAGCATACTTTCACTAAATCCTTTTGTGGACCAGCATGGTTTAATCAGAGTTGGTGGGCGCATAAGTAATTCGACTTTTCCATTTGATAAAAATCACCCAATTTTGCTGCCCTCAAGCCGCTACTTTGTTAAATTACTTTTTCAAAATGAGCACAATAAATTATTTCACATTGGTCCTCAACATTTACTGGCTGCAATTCGTGAAAAATATTGGCCAATCAATGGCAGAAATTTGGCAAAACAAACTTACCGTAGCTGCATACGGTGCTTCAAATTAAAACCTACAAACCCTGATAATCTCACGGGCAATCTACCCGAGACACGTTTAAACCAATCATTTCCTTTTAATGTTAGTGGCGTGGACTGTTGTGGCCCATTTTACATGAAAGACCGAAAGGGTCGTGGCTGCAAAATTGTCAAATCATACGTAGCTTTATTTGTATGTTTTACCACCAAAGCTATTCACGTCGAGTTTGTCACTGACATGACCACAAATTCATTTTTGCTGGCCCTGAAAAGGTTTATTTCTCGCCGTGGTAAGCCTTCCAAATTGTATTCAGACAACGGATCTAATCTGGTAGGTGCACGCAATGAAATGCGAGAACTTTTCAAAACCCTACTTTCAGATGCAGCCACATTTTCAAGCTTCTGCGCGACAGAGGGCATTGAATGGAGCTTTATCCCCTCCTACTCACCCCATTTCGGTGGTTTATGGGAGGCTGGGGTTAAAAGTTTAAAAACCCACTTACGAAAAGTGATTGGTTATGCGAATTTAACGTTTGAAGAACTTTCGACAGTCCTGACACAGGTAGAGGGAATGCTTAACTCTCGTCCCCTCAGCCCCCTTTCCTCCAATCCTACAGACTTTGAACCAATCACACCTGCACACTTCCTCATAGGACGTCCAATTACTGCTACTCCAGAACCTGATGTCACTGGCATTAAAGAAAATCGTCTAACTCGGTTCCAACTTATGGAGCAAATGCGCCAACACATATGGCATAGGTGGTCTTCAGAGTATATCGCCGAGCTTCAAACAAGGTCCAAGTGGAAAATCATGAGCAAAAATGTAAAACTGAATGCGCTTGTCCTAATCAAAGACAAAAACTCGCCGCCTCTTAAATGGTCGCTGGGGCGAGTGGTTCAATTATATCCTGGTTCCGATCAGATCGTCCGAGTAGTGTCGATACAAACTGTAAGCGGCATTGTGAAACGGGCAGTGGCTACTATATGTGCTCTTCCACTAAACAGTGACTAATATTTCAGTTGATATGCAAGTCAATACAGATTTTATTATTTTCTAGTAATTTGTTGAATTTATAAGCTTATAATATTTCCTTTCGTTTAATTATTGTTAATCTTACACATTATGTTTTGTTGAAAGATTGTACCCTTTCAAGGCGGGGGGCATGTTTACGCATTTTTAATTCAAAACCCCATCCGCACG